CCTTCCTTCCTTCCTTCCTTCCTTCCTTCCTTCCTTCCTTCCTTCCTTCCGTCCTTCCTTTTCTATCTTTCATTTATTTATTTATTCACTTATTTTACTTAGGCTTGAACTCCAGGCCTGGGCGCTGTCCCTGAGCTTTTGTGCTCAAGGCTGGCGCACTACCACTGTGAGCCACAGTTCCACTTCTGGATTTTTGCTGGTTCACTGGAGAGAAGAGTCTCACAGACTTTCCTGCCCAGTCTGGGTTTGCACCATGATCCTGAGATCTCAGTTTCCTGAGTAGCTAGGATCACAGGTGCAAGCCACCAGCACACAGCTCTTACTATTAATATTTAGCAACCCTATTACTACCGTCATTAATAAATGCTTTAATATCTTGAAATCATAGGATTTGCTTCCCACAAGTTTAAATACCAGAAAATAACCAATGAATGCAGTAAATACTGTACATTCATAAATAAATAGTAAATATCATAACAAAATGTCAATACATGTACTGAAAACATTTTAGAATTCTGTTCTCATAATAAGCTTATAAAACTCTCACATCTAGTTGAAAAAATAATGCTTCAGTAAGTTAAGTTTCCCCAAGCATAGAGTTTTCTTCTTTCATAGATCCAGTGATTAAATTCTATCTTCATGGTGATAAAACCACCGAGTATAAATAACATGGGTCTGTTTTGATTTTGCTCTGTGTGTTACTTTTTTTTGGTCAGTTTGGGGGCTTGAACTCAGGGCCTGGGCGCTGTCCCTGAGCTGCTTTTGCTCAAGGCTGGTGCTCTACCACTTGAGCCACAGCACCACTTCTGGTTTTCTGGTGGCTTATTGGAGAGAAGAGTCTCATGGACTTTCCTGCCCTGCTTGGCTTTGAACCACGATCCTCAGATCTCAGTCTCTTGAGTAGCTGGGATGACAGGTGTGAGCCACTGGCACCCAGCTTCTTTGTATTATTTTTTTAACCTGAAAATTGTCTGCTGCCTTTGAAGTATTCATTCCTACGCTTAATCTCATAGAACAACATGGCCCTGTACTTTGCAAAATGCAAGTAGATGGTATTTAATAAATTGAAGTGTCCCTTATAATATGTTCCCTGAAGTACTGTAGCAATAATAATGTTTCATTATGAGCGCATTTTAAGTTAACTACCGTGAACCATAAAAGGGCTGTGACTGTCTCTTTCAGTGAAAGAAAATCCAGGACGACAATGGAGACTTGTACGAACATGCGTGTGAGTTTGTACACGCATGCACACACAGGCTCCCGAAACTCAATTAACAATGTAACCGTGGTTTAACTGATTTAATAGATGTTTGATTACTTTGCACTTCGCTTGTCACAATATTCCAAAATGCCTTGAATAAAAGCTTCTGTCTTTATGGTTCATTGGTCATCCGTTGGGCAGCAAATAGCATGATCCCCTGTGATTCTACCATTTTGTCTGGTCTAAACAAAAATGCTAGCCAGCTGCTGTCGTTCACACCTGTAATCCTAGCTACTCAGGAGGCTGAGATGTGAACGTTGTCATTCTCAAAGCCAGCCTGAGCAGGAAAATTCACGAGGCTCTTATTTCCAACGAACCAGCAAAATGCCATAAGGAGAAGTATGGTTCAAATGGTAGAGCACTAGCCTTGAGCACAAAAGCTCAGGGACAGCCCTGACTTTAAGCCCCAGGACCCTCACACACACACACACACACACACACACACACCTCGTAAAATTTCTACTTGTTGTAGAAATCTCCTTTGACTGTCTTTATGATGCTTAACGTGTTGTGTTGGTTTGTTTTCCACCAGACGATTTAGGAATGACTTTGATTTCTCAGTTGATGATAGGTTTCTTTTCTTTTCTTTTAGCACTGCACGAAGTATATTACCTTCCGGACACCAGAAGCGGGAGAGGTTGCCCTGGGAGGCAGAGCAGGTCAGGACATTTGAATGATTATTTGCCGATTGTTAATCTACCATCATTCTAAGCTCCTCAGATCTCTCGCTGCTCACCCAATGCTTCTGTGTGTTTACTGGGTAGACGCCATTTTGCTACTCACGCCTAGTACTAGAAGCCCAGTACTTGGGGATTCTAGGTTATTTCCAAGTTATGGAATTGGGTTTGGGGGGGGAGAGGTATTGAAAAATCACTTGTATATGCATTCATTCATTCATTCATTCATTCATGTGTGGTAGTGAATGCAAGCCGACACAACATTATGTCTGACTTTTCTTCTGCATCGTTCTATTATTATTGTTGTTGTTGTTGTTATGATTTTCTTTCTTTTTGGTGGTACTGGGGATTGCACTGGGGCCTTGTTCTTGCTAGAGGCATTCTACCACTTGAGCTCTGCCTCCAGCCTTGTTCCTTGGTTGCTTCAGAGATGGAGTCCAATGCATGTTTCTTCCCTGGGTTGGCCTCCAACGGCCATGCTCTAGAGTTTAGCCTCCTGGGTTGTTCGATGGTGGCCGGGAGCCACCAGTGCTTGACGAGGCAACATGGATGTGATTGGAGCTAGATGATGCCACCTGGGGGTTGGGCCCTCACCAAAGCCCCTCTTCCTCAGCATGGTTGATTTGCCTTTGAAGGGGGGGTGGAGTGGAACGTGACTCTTAAAGAAAACCCAGAAAGATCCACGATTCCTGTTTACCTTTAGCTACTTAAAGTGAAATGTTCCACTCGGGAAGGATTCGCATCCCCCTCTTGGACAAGTTAAACAGACTGACTTTCTAGAAATCGCCACCCACATAATTGCTATCAGATGACTCCTGGGAAGATTTGGAACAGAAATCCAACTTTGAAGAGCAGTGCTCTCCCTGTGTCTGGTACTACGAGAGTACCAGGAAAGGGAGGCTCACACACACTCACACACACACTCACACACACACACAGGTGCTTGGCACAGTTGCTTATTGCTTTTCTCTCAAGAAGGAGCAGGGAGGGATCTTAACCGCTGCTGGTTTGTGGCATCAGTCTATTTGGCAAGTGAGTCAGGTCTGGCGATGACTATCCCAGGGGGAAATAAAAGCCATGGCGGGGAAAAGACATCATCTTGAACTTCTGCCGGGTGGTTGACACAAAGTCCCATCCCTCTGAGAGAAAGTTTTTCTGTTGCCCTTTGGTGAGGGGGTGTGGATGTCAGTCAGGTGATCCTGCAGGCCCAGAGAGAGAAAGAGTAGATTCTGGAGGAAGAGCTCACCCAATCATTCCAACCAATATGTGGCTAGAAGAAGCATTTATCCTTGTTTTTGGAGGGGCTTTGGGGAGGGAGATGGAGGAGGAGGAGGAGAGAAAGAGGTGTCTTTGGTTTTGGAAGCACCGTGATTAGTTTTCCTGTGTAAGCCTGACCCATCATATTTGAAATGCTGTCACTAGGAATCATTAGGAAGCGAAGTGTTGATAACATAGTCGAATACACAACATAATTCTGGCTCTTTTGCTGTCTGGATGAACTCCCAACATTAGAAATCAGAGTCAAACTGCCATCACTTTGCCTGTGCTAATAGACGCCCTGACATTAATAGTCAGAAGACAATTTTAATAATAAAAAAAAATATCCGTAGTCCTGCTGAGTCGGGACTCCGAAGTGAAATAAGCAAGAAAAAAAAATAAAGAAGCTTTTGTTTTAAAAGTAATTATTTAGACTGTTCATCACAGGTAATTTGCTTTCTCCAAGAAGGCAAATGCTATCAGAATTTCAATAACGATTCAGCGGCACTTATCTAAAGAACGCGATATTATCATTTTTTTAAAGAGTTAAAGTAATGCTTTTATTTTTTTTTCCTCCCTGACATACAACAATAAAGGCCAAATTGGATGGAGGTATCATGTGAATGCATTTTACAGTTAATATGAACATTTCTTAGGGGCTATGTGTGAACAGGGTTATATTGGACAGATTGATGGGTATTTAACAGGATGTTGATAGAGTTTTGGGAGCAACAGACTTGAATTCTAAGGACAGATTAAAAGAGGGGGGGGGAAAGAACAGCTTTTGATTTTCCCTCTTAGATCAGAAAGGAAATCACATTTCATTCTCTTTCCAAGTCTTGTAGTACAACCCTTGTACATAAACTACACTCAGAGGATATAATGTCGGCCGGAAACCAAGTGCTGGTCTGCAGCTCCTGCCTGTCATCCTAGCTACTTGGGAGACTGAGATTTGAGGACCACAGTTCAAAGCCAGGCAAGTCTGTGAGACTCTTCTCTCCAATGAAAGTGGAAATGGCTCTGTGGCTCAACATGGTAGAGCACTAGCCTTGAGCAAAAGAGCTCAGGACAGTGCCTAGGCCCAGAGTTCAAGCCCCACGACCACCACCACCACCAACAAGAAGAAATAAAAGCAGAACCACAACCAGGCCAATGCCTTATGGTTTAAACTCGCATGCAGATAACTCTCTGCTAGAGGCCCCCATGGCGAGTCAACCACCAATAAAAGAAATGAATGTCACCGCCATTTGAGCAGCAACTCATCCCCCTGGCTCTAGGAAACACTGCCTAGCTTTCCATACAGATGGATGATAGGCATAAAAAGCAGAGAATTGTGGAGGACCCTGGAGCTTAAAGTAGGAGCAACCGTAGAATTATCTATGTGAAATGAAGTATTTAAAAAAACAAACATGGTGGAGGCCTGGGTTGTATCTTCTGGGCTGCTGCTGTAGGCCTCTCCTGAAATCGTTCACAGTTCTTTGCTTTTGTGTGTTATCCTGTGGTTTCTGAGAAACATCTGTCCTGAAGTCCAGTGGTCTTTCTTCGAAGAAGCACAGTTAGTGGAAGCCATCTCTATAGCATGGTCTGGAAGGTTACTGCATCCTCAAACACAGCTGACTTTCTCTCATTGCGTCTGGAAATATATCTAGTACCATGGCAGAGTAGATCAGTGTGTGTGTGTGTGTGTGTGTGTGTGTGTGTGTGTGTGTGTTTGACTTCCAAAATTCAGGATTTATGAAAGATCTCCTCTAAATATGTCTTAGAGAGAGAGAGAAAAAAGAATATATCCCTACACAATTTCGCATGTCTCCTAATCCCTAACGATAGAAGTCGCCGTCCATCAGCAGAGAACCGGAGAGCCCTTCCCTCCCTAGTCAGAGTTTGTAGACAGAGCACAGAGAGGTTAAATTCCACATCCTCTTCCAGATTTTAATAAGTGACAGAGCCAGGAAAACCATCCCCAGATTCCCTGATTCCCAGCCCAGATTCCTTCCCCCGATGGCAGGGTGCCCCGTGACACAAGAGCAGATTAGAACAAAATTAGAGATTTGTTGAAATGCACGCGCGTGCGGTATCACACGCTCCGTTTGGTGGCGTTGGGTGGCTTCAGCGAAGCCGGTCTGTCTTCCTGTTGGAGGTCGTTGTTTTTTATTGGGGTGGGGGAGGGGAGAGCATCCTAAATATAATACTCTCGTTCATAAGAAATAGGCTACACTAGGAAAGCTCTCCTGCTCCTCCTTTGTCTCTGACAATCTGCCTGCGTTTTGTTTTCGAAGTCACCTTCTTTGGGATCAATGCATGCACACATTTCAGCTATGACTACCGCCCCCCCTCCCAGCCCCCTGCCCTCCCCCCTACTCCCCCCTCCACATCTACCCCCACCAAGTGAGTAAGCTCTTCTGGCTAACAAAACCATGTTGGTTTTGCCAGTGTCCTCTTGACAGCAGGAATTCAATTGCCATCATTTGGCTTTAGCGGGAGTTAGAGTTTTGTCTCCAACAGAAACAGGAGCCAAGGTACTGTCTCCCTGCTTCTTCTGGTTTTTTTTTTTTTTCTTCTAATTTTAGTTGGAACCCATTGGCATTGATCTTACCTAGACAGACTAGTGTTATTTCTACCCAGCACAATCTGCTGGCTTGGGGCTGCATTCCAAGACACTCCTTTGAACCTCTTCCCTCCCTGACACATGGGGAAGGGTGAAAGTTGTCGTCCTTTTCCTGATGAACTGTCGCTCCTCGAGCCCCCCCCCCGCCCCCCCAGCAAGACAGGGAAATTCTGACAGTCACTGGTTCCATCGATGGTTCCAAGATCATTGGCCCGTCGTGGTGTTGATACACAGTGGCATCGTTTCATTATGGAATCTGAAGGGACAACTCCGATTTGTGGGGGTGCTAGGATCTAGATCTTGAGGTGTGAAATCCTTTCGAGGAGGAGAGGGCAGTGTGGGACAGTGTTGTCTACTTTTCTGGCCCTCAACTCTTGTATGTGCATGCATGGCTAGAGGAGGCTGGGCTTGAACTCACGTCTTTGAACCGTGAACCTCGGATCTCAGCCTCCTGAGTAGCTAGGATTATAGGAGTGAGCTACTGGTGTGTGGGGGGGGATGTCAGGAAGCCCTCAGTTATGTTGTTCTGGGGCATTATAGCCTAGCCCTGGTGTGGTCCCTAGTCTCTAGAGACCGGGCTGGAAACTCTCCTAACCTTAAACCGGGCAACCAGGCTTGGGCTATGGCTACGTCCCCCTAGCAGGAAGAACTGTTGGGATTCTCAGCATTCTGTCTGATAAAGCCAGGTCAACGCAGCCTCTCTTAGCAGCTCTCTCTGTAATCTCCGTCCACACCCCATGTACCACAGGATTGTCTAAAAGGCTGTCTTTCCCCACCCCCAGTTAAAGGATAAAGCCCTCCGTCTTTCCCCACCCCCAGTTAAAGGATAAAGCCCTCCTCCCAGCATGGAACATTTCTATTTCCTGGGATTCTACTTCCCTCCATCAAAAGTACTACCACCCCCAAAAATCCAACATTTTCCATGATTATTTATAAACAGTGTTTGGGTTTTTTTTCCCCTATGGAAACCACAGTTTCTGATTACCTCAGTGAGAAGGACTATAGAGAGATGAATACTTCCATGAATCAGACGAGGAGATGAGATCAGAGGTCACCGTACTGGGGTCTCAATGAGAAATAGAAAAGACACAGACATGTTCATGCGGCTGGCAGAAAATCC